TGTTTGGCAATGGTGCAATGTGGATACCTGCGGCATTGGTATCAAGTCGAAGATGCGCTCCGCCAGGAGGGGGGGAGAGGATGATGAGTTTGATTATCTCTTCTACCTGTTTCCACCCATCTTCCCCGACTGGCCTAAACACGATCCTGGATCCCGCCCCTCACTTCGTTCCAACTCCGGCTGCCACCTCCTATTCTCCCATCATTCCGACACCACCTTCCGACCAGGACGCCGATAGGAATTCTCACGAGAGCTCCCAAGGAACCACCCGTAGCAAACAGTTCTATAGAGGATCCCGCGGCACTCCCCTTAAAAGACCCGATAGAGGTGCACGAGGAAGGCCCTACGATGCCCCCGACATCAGCTCAGATGGTAACTCCGTGTTCCGACTCTTGCTCCGACCCCGGCTCCGACGCCAGCATTCAATCAGGTTGGAACGATTTCGGCACAGATTCCGATGGTATCGATTCCCAGCTTTGGTCGGCCGCGCGGTCTATAGTGAAAAGTCCCGCGGGGGGTCCCATGGGAAATCCCAAAGCAAAGCCCTCAGAAACCCGAATGCCAATCAATATAATGTCACTCCTGGGCACCGGACAGGCAGAGACGACGACGAGCAGGGTGAAGGAGAGGAAGGAGCAAAAGCAGGGATAGCGAACATACCGACTCCAACTCCCCACCTATTTACGTTTTCCCCGACCCCGGTTCCGACCGACGCTTCGACGCTCCACCTAATCTTTCAGGTCTTCGTTTCGAAGATATCGACATCGATTTCTGTTATGGCGACGCTGGGTCTTGACCGAAGTCTGGCCTCCGACCATCTTGAAGATTCTATCGCTACAAGTCCGCCAGATATACGCAATTACATGGCGGACAGTCTTCGACAGCGACGTCCACCTCCGACCCGACGCGCAGAAAGACCACCACAACCCACATCGGGTGAAACTCCACCACCGCGACCGCCACGGCACCCCGAACCACGCCTTCCACCTACATCGGGAGGAACACATATGCAAGGACGTCCTGGGGTCGCTCGTCTGCCGGATGGCTGGCGGCATATCGATGCAGTGGATATACGGACTGAGGTCGACAACCGCATCCAGACGCTGCAATCCATCCCAAAATGCATACGGGGCGCCTTCCTGCGCATTCTAACACAATGCTTGGTTGAAGTGGAACGAACGCATTTACATTGGGACAGAGATGAAAATGCGGAAGGTGACTGCACACGGGCATGGATATTATTTCTCCTGCTCCCCAGGATGTTACTACACCCTACAGCCCATGGAGGGAAAGCGGGTGAGCGCGACTTACGCCAACGAGTTGTTTTGTTTGATAATGGGGATTGGGATCAATTTCTGAGCAGGGCTCGGAGCAGCATGGCTAAACGCAACTCCAAGCCTACACGTGCGCCCCGGAGAACCCCAGGAGAGAAAGAAAACATAGACAAAGCGATGTCTCTCATCAAACGGGGGGAACTGAGCCATGCTGCCCGGGTGCTTACGTCAACAGGGATTGCCCCAGGCACCCAGGCCACGCTAGACGAGCTGACCGACCCGTTATTACAGCCGGCATTTCCTGCGGAACCATTGCCACCTGATCTCGCCGATTTTGCGCCAGCGCGGGACGTGGACTTGGACAGAGATGTATTTGCGACGGTGCTGCGCCAAACGAGGCGCGGTCTGAGGGGAGGGATGTGGGGAAGCCGATATGAACACTTCAAGCCATGCCTGGAGGACGATGTCGCCTTCGACGCCATGTACGACGTAGCGCAGAGGCTCGCGAGAGCGCATATTCCAGAGATTATCCGGGATGGGCTCCTCTATTCGTCATTGACCGCGGCCTTGAAACCGAATTCGCGAGTGAGGGGCATATCCAGTGGAGATACATTTCGGCGGCTTGTGGCAAAAACACTTGCAAAACAATTTCAAGACAGTTTACGACAAGCCGTGTGGCCGCACAATTTTGGGATTTATGACCGTTCGGGCACCGATGCCGCCATCCACCTCTTGAGGTATTTGACCGATGTGAACCCCGACAAAGTTCTTCTCAGTATCGATGGGGTGGGAGCCTTCGACCACGTATCGAGGACCCGCATGTTCGAGCAACTCATGGCTAATGGGAGCCTGCACGGATTGCTCCCCTTTGTCAGACTATGGTATGGCGTCCCATCGCAGTTCAAATGGGCAGATGATGACGAGAGGGTTCACACAATACCCCAAGGAGATGGCGGGGAGCAAGGTGACGCTTTGATGCCAGCATTGTTTTGCCTCGCGCTCCACAGCGCCTTAGAGCAAATCAAAGCAGACCTCCCAGCTGGGGCCGAAGTGATCGCTTACCTTGACGATATATACGTGGTCTGCGACCCCGCTGACGTGGCTAAATGTGTATGACGCTATCCGGGCCACCCTCCGAGGAACATGCCATATCGATGTCAACATCGGCAAATTGGCGGCATGGAGCAAAAACCGCAATCCCTGTCCCCCAGGTTTGCACGCACGGGGCGCTACAGCATGGGTCTACGACAAGCCAGAGGCGGAACAAGGAATACGGGTCTTAGGGCCACCATTTGGCACACATGCATACGTGGCAGAATTCGGAAACGCGCAGGCTGCAGCGAAGGCGAAGTTATTACACATTTTACCGAAGCTCCCTTCACTACAAATGGCGTGGCTCCTACTATACTACTGTGCAGTGCCGCGGCTCAACCACTTACTCCGGACGACACCGCCATCCCAGTCCAGGGAGGCAGCGGCCACACACGACCGCAACGTGCTAACAACCTTCAGCGAGCTATTCGGCATCCCAGGCCCAGACAATTGGGATCGCATCTTGCATGGAGTTTCTTATGCCACCTGGGTTGCACAAGCTACGCCCCCCCTCCGCTACGCTGGCCTTGGCCTCAGGGACTCCACGAGGCTTTCTCCGGCAGCTTACTGGGCAAGCTGGGCTGATTCGTTGCATAACTTGACCCGCGCATTTCCCGAGATAGGAAGGGATATCCGACACCACTTCGATACCGTATCTGGTGGGGATATTCCAGCAGGGCACAATTACCCCGACTGTGTGGTCGAAGCGGAGCGCAGCGGACAAATATGCAGCAACGCTGGATGGCGCGATCGCCCCACGTGGGCCCAGGTGGCAGCGGGTGAGAGACCCCCCGCACCACCAGAGCAACCGCTAACTTTGGGCGAATGGACACATGGGTGGCAATTTCACGCTTCGGACCACTTCGAAAAAACAATCTCATAACAATTTGCTTCAACAACTAGGTGGGGGACCAAATGCCCGGAGGAATGCCGCAACGGCCGGCAAAACTCGAATCTATGCGTGTATGGGGCCCTATGCAGCTATTTGGTTAACTATCTGCCCTACGACTCCCACGCTGGCAATGGATAATCCACAAATGCTTTGTGCGTTTTTTTTTGCATTTTTTGTTTTTTGTTTTTTTTTTTCAGTTTTTTTTTTTGAGTTTTTCTTTTTTTTGTTTTTTTGTTTTTTTTTTTTTTTTTTTTTTTTCGTTTTTTTTTGTGCAATACGGCGAAGGTTGGGAATTGCAGTGGTTTTTGATGGAAGGGACCCCCATGGATACTCTACCATGACTACGAACCACTATGGGAGGCTAAATGCACGGCGTACTGCTACGGTAGGAGCGTGGAGGCAAGTGTTCACGGAAGTTGGAGGGATTATCCCCGACAGGAACGTAGAGCGGATGCTGGCTCATACGCACGTCCCCGTCCCCTCCAATGATCAAAGGCGTTTGGACCTCATTGTTCCGGGGCTTCACGTGGAACATGGTATTCCCCTATTCTGCGACGTGACAATTATGCATCCAATCAGCGGGAACGGGGCCCCGAGGGCAGGGACGAGTAACAGAGGGGGGCGGCTGATGGAAACAGCAGAGCGGGAGAACAATGCAAACTATTCGGAAGTGGTATCTACGGGATTGGGGTCGCTGCAATGCCTTGGATCAGAGACGTACGGAAGATGGGGGAAGCAAGCAGTGACGCTCGTGCCCGCGCTCGCACGTGAACGATGCCGGGCGCTGCCAGGGGCTATCCGAAGAGGGACTGCGTTAGGACTCCTACACAGATGGTGGGGCATTCTGGGGATCGTACTACAACGGTCGGTGGCGAACCAAATCCTCCAACCATATTCTGACCTGCCGGTGAGCCCTCTCGAGCCCGCATGCCCGCTGGACGAATTGGAAGTGATTTAGTCCGGCGGTAGCCCGCTCCTTCCTCCTTCTCCTCCTCCTCCTCCTCCTCCTCCTCCTCCTCCTCCTCCTCCTCCTTTGGCGCTGCTTAGGCTGTTCGCTGCGCCGCGTTTCACCTATGCCAGGTTTTCGGGCATAGCCTTGCACAGCGTCGCTTCGTGTCCGATGCGGGGGATGGCAAAAAAAAAAAAAAAAGATCTCCAACAACTCCGGTTTCGAATCCAACTGCGGTTTCTGACTTGGCATCGGCTACAAGACAGCGGTGCTCGTTCGTGACAACAACCATCATGGGCCCAATGTATGTATCAGGCGGATCCGGCATGGCATTTATGAACCGTACAACGGTAATGATAACGACTTTGGATCCCAGAGGTCCTAGAGTTGTAAGTTTTAATTCTTGCGGCCAAAATGGCATCATTTGTAACTTTTATCTTACAGCCCTATATCTTAATGTTCTAAGATAATGTTGGTTTTCACATATATATATATATATATATATATATATATATATACATATGTGTGTTGTACACATACATGTGCACATATTGTTGTAAACGCATGTGTATACATATGACGCGTGTTTACAAGCATTGCACGAATTGTGAGGACGTCTCGTGCGAAACTGGGAACACGGGCTGGGGGAATGTATGTTCGTGTGTGCTGGTGAGGATTGGCTTGTTTGGAAATGCCGCCGCTCTCCGTCTGTCGCGTTTCTCGCGCGACGCGGCCGTTTTGCCCCGAGCGGCCCCACTCCTGTTGGGGCCGCGCCGCCATGGCGACGGCAGAGGACAGGAAGTCTCGAGAGACGTGCACTGACCACAAGAAGTTGTTAGAGGTCATTTTGCCGTTCGTGGACGGCCCCGCGTTTGTGAAGTACGGCACTCACCCAGGCCAGGACAAACTCACGGATGATTGCATTCTAGCCCTGCAGAGGGACGCCAAAATGTCGTGGGCCATCAGGGGCGTCTCTTCGAACCTCACGATGACGAAGGCCACGACCGATGCAGCGATGATGAGCATTGGCAGATCGAAGGCGATAAATCAACAAACTCAGAGTCATCCCAGTTTGCTCCATCTCAAAAAAAAGAGGCGGGGGGTGCCAATATTGGCATCCCCCTCCCCCTTCGTTTTGAGACGCCCGCCTCCTCGCCTCCCCTCGCCTCCTCGCGAGGCGGCGGAGTGGACCTACGACGACCAGCAGATGGAGAGCTGGGCGATCGAGAAGTCGAGCATGCTGAGGTCCATGGCAAAGCACTTGTACCAGCCCTTGCGGAACTACACAGCAGGCAAAACGTATCCTAAGTGGTTCGCCAAATTCGTCAGGATTGCCCATGGTGCCCCAGCAGCTTCGCCTTCTCCGACCCAGTCGCCTCCGTTCGACAGCTCGCCCACTACCCGTCCAAGCCGAGAACCTGAGGGCAACGCGGAGCAGCTTCCGCCGACGGGTGAGCCCAGCGTGTACCATCACTGGGGGTGGGACTCCGCGCAGGGGAAGGCGTGGCGATCAAAAAAAAAAAAAAAAAAAAAAAAAAAAACAGGCCCATGCGAGTTGACAGATGAGATCTTCGCGCCAGAGGGCGCGACGGACACCAGCACCATGAGAGCGAGGTTCTCCGACGGGATGGTCTACGCGCTGCCGACGTTGACGAAGCTGGCGTTCGGGAGCATCGGCACTGAGAAGAAGACAGCATCCAAGCAGTCGTTCGTCGGCCACAAGGGCGATGAGAGAGTCACAGTCACGGAGAAGCAGCTGAGGACCAGAAATGACAAGACCCTGGAGATTGGCCTCGTCATCAACGTAGACGGCCGACAAAAAGTACAGCTCAGCTACGATCATTGCCCTGCTGAGCAAGCCCGTGAGAAGATGCACACCTGGGCCAAAGCCTACATCAGCAACACCATGACGATTGATGAGATCATGGCCGCCAGGTGCATACCGTCGAGGAAGCGGCCTGCAGCGGCATCGGCAACTACGCCAGCAATGAAACGCCCTGCAGCTGCGACGGCCATCGTCGCCAAGAGGCCTGCTGCTGCACCTGCTGCAGCTGACGCCGAGGATGATCGTCACCACAGCGACGAGGACGAGGACGAGGGCGAGGAGAGCGAGGAGGGCAGCTTCGAGAAGGACGAGGAGACGGACCCCGACGACACGAGCGGCGGCGACGCGGAGGAGGACGAGCTGCCCGCCAAGGACGGCTTCGAGGAGGACGAGCTGCCCGCCAAGAAGAAGCAGGAGCTGCCCGCCAAGAAGAAGCAGGAGCTGCCCGCCAAGAAGAAGCAGGAGCTGCCCGCCAAGAAGCAGGAGCTGCCCGCCAAGAAGCAGGAGCTGCCCGCCAAGAAGCCCGCGGCCGCCGCGGCGAGCCCAGCTCCAGGAACTGACGAGGACAGGGCAGGACCAACCTTGGCCACGATTGAACCTCCTCCTCCTACTCTTCCATGCCCTCCCTGTTGGTCGTCCTCCTCATCCGGCTCCCTGCCCCTACTCCTCCTCATCCTCCCCCTCTTCCACCGAGAGGCCCCCCTCTTCCTCCGCTGGCCTCCAGTCTGAACGGTGACGGCTGCGCGCCGACGATCGGTCGACGATGCATCGACGATGCATCGACGATGCATCGACGATGCATCGACGATGCATCTACGGTGCCGCTGTCGGCGCACGAGTGGCCTCAACCGAGATCGAATGCGAAATCCGACTCGATCGGCGATGCGGACGACTGCGATGGCGAGATGATAGGCGGAGGACAGGGGAGGGGCAGGAGTAGCAGAAGGAGGAGGCTGAGGAGGAGGAGGAGGAGGAACACAGCACCTCAAGGACTTGAAAACAGAGCCCGAGAGCAGCGAGCCGAGCAGCAAAATGGCTGGGAGAGAGCAAACGAGGATTCGACGTAGCCGTAAGAGAGAAAGGATTATGCAACTTTGGGGTGGTGATATTGAATCAAGTGTGGGTGCGTGCGTATACGCAGATGTAGAAAGATATAGAGATGCACAGAAATAGAGGATATATATAGAGAGAGAGAGAAAGAGAGAGAGAGAGAGAGACAGAGATAGAGAGAGAGGAAGAGAAAAATAGAGAGAGAGAAAAGAGAGAGAGAGTGAGAGAGAGAGATACAAAGAGATAAAGAGAGAGAGAGAGAGAGAGAGAGAGAGGGAGGGAGAGAGAGAGAGAGAGAGAGAGAGAGAGAGAGAGAGAGAGAGAAAGAGAGAGAGAGAGAGAGAAAGAGAGAGAAAAAGAGAGAAAGGAGAGAGAGAGAGACGAGGAGAGAGAGAGAGAGAGAGAGGGGGAGAGAGAGAGAGAGAGAGAGAGAGAAGACGAGAGAGACTCGAGAGACTGAGAGAAGAGAGAGAGAGAGAGAGAGAGAGAGAGAGAGAGAGAGAGAAAGAGAGAGAGAGAGAGAGAAAGAGAGAGGCGGGAAGGTGGGTACCCGTCCTACTCCCACGATGGCCCCAGCGTGGGGCATTTCGCCAGGGCGTCGCCAGGTGGCGAATTTCTGACGTTAAGGAGCCTTAGCGTTAGAAGATCGTCCCTGCGGGGCTCGTTTCGGCGAGCTTCTAACGTTAATCTGGACGCCCGAGATGGGCACGGAAAGAATGGGTACGATGCCAAACACCAATTCCTGTTTATTTTGAGCAGGACTCGCTGTCCGCGCCGCCGCGGCCTGTGCCCATTCGAGACAGAAGGCCGCCTGCCTAACACCGGCCGCTGTTGGTGTGGGGCAACATTCGGTTTTGGGCATTGCACCCATTCTTTCCGCACCCATGTCGGGCGTCCAAAGTTAAGGCCCCTTAGCGTCAGAAATTCCCCCTCCCCCCCCCTGTGGGGCTTGCGTTGGCGAGCTTCCGACATTAAGGGGCCTTGGCGTTCGAAAATCAACAGTGTCTTGCCGTGCCCCCGCGCCCAGAGGAGCCAGCGCCGTCGGCAGCTTCTGCGAGCAACCAGGGGTGGAGCGACATCCCGAATCCTGGTGCGTCTCTGTTCGCCAGACTTCGTGGCTAGCGGGTGGCTGTCAAAAAAAAAACATAGCGGTGCGTTCGCACCAACCCGTTCGCCCATGACCCCCCCCTCTTGCTTCTTCCGTGGGCACCAGAGGCAGCCGAGCAGCTTGAACCACATAGCTTACGCCATAGCTTGCGCCGCAGAGCTTCCATCGCATACAGCTTGCACCAGATAGCTCACACCGCGTAGCTCGCACAGCTAGGGGCGCGAAGATCTCAGATGACACCCGCAGCATCTTGGCACGAGGCGTTTCGGGCTTCAGGGGCCGCCCACTGTGTTTAGTGACCAGGGGCCCGCAGCCGTCCGCAGGGATGATGGCAGAGCAGATCTCCGTAGAGATCTCGGCGAGCAGCGGGGACGAGGCGGTCCACGTCTCGGAGAGCCCATCGCCAGGCTCCGTCTCGCAAGCCCCGAAGCTGGCGCATCGATGCATCGTCGACCCATCGTAGATGCATCGCCGACCACTCGCCACCCCCAGCCGAGAGGAGAGGGGGGGAAGGGCGAGGAGGAGGAGGAGGAGGATGGAGAGGAGGAGGGGGAGGAGGAGGATGAGGAGGAGGAAGAGGAGGAGGAGGAGGAGGAGGAGGAGGGAGAAGGATAAAGGGGATGATGAGGAGAAGGAGGGGGAGGCTGGGGATTAATATCAAAGCCGCCCCTAGCAGTCCCAGGCATAGGGAATGACGTCATCAAGATGTCCATGGAGGCTGAGTCGCCAGGGCTGATCGAGGCGCTGGAGGCGAGCAAGCACGACGTGCGCATGACGCAGGACGAGCTCGAGAAGTCGGAGCAGCATCCCGAGCCCGCGTGCAGCAACGGCGACAGCTCGAGGCCCGCGAACAGGCGGTCCGTGCACATGCGGGAGAGCATGGAGAAGGCGTGGATGGACGGGATCTCATCTGATGACTTCGACCACGTGCTGGCCCACGGGATGACGAAGGGTCAGGCAGAGCAGCTCACTGACAAGACTGCGGCCGTGGTCAAGCGAGCTCGATCCACGAGCGATCTCGACGAGGACGCGGACTCGGACTACGTGGCCGAGAGCGAGGACGAGGAAGATGGCGAGTGCTCCGACACGGGCACCGATGAGTACGGGGACACCCTCCAGGACTTCATCGACCTGAGTTTCACCGAGACCGCGGCCGAGCCCGAGAAGTCCGACGACGGGTCCGACGACGAGCCCGACGGCGCCTCCGAGGACTCCGACGACAAGCCGCTGGCGTCCGTGGCAGGGACGCCTAGGCCTCTGCCGAAGTCGGCGCCTGTGACTCCTGCGCAGGCGAAGTCGGCACCAGCGACGCCCGTGACTTCGTCGGCTGGCACGCCGACGTCGGCTGCCTCCGCCGAGCCAGCGGCGGCGGGGCCCGCACCAGCGCCGCCGACGGCGGCAGCTCCAGCGCTGCCTCCGCCGCGCAGGCCGGCCAGGCCAACGCTGGGGGCGACGCTCAGGGACGTCGTGGGCAAGCACGCTGACATTGCAGGCGCGGGCGGCGGCGATGTGACGCCGACGACTGGCGGCCTGAGCCACGTGGATGTCACCCCGCAGAAGGACCCGAAGTTCGAGTTGGCGACTCGGGCCCAGGACCTGCTCATGAAGAAGGCCGCGGCCATGCCAGCTGGGCATGCTCAGGAGTCGACGGGCTCGCTGCGATGACCCCGACGCCAGCTGCACTGGCAACCTCGCATCGGCAAGACCGCAGTCCTGCAGGGCTGAGGTCTTGCCGATGCGACGTGCTGGTGCGCCCCAGCGCGGGGGTGATCAAGCTGGGCACCTCTCAGGAGACTGGCCGCGCATCGTTCGCCAGCGTGCACGCTGGCGGCGCGCATGGCCCGCCCGCCAAGGCGGCCAAGGTGGGCTCGAAGGGCAGGGTCATCGGCGAGAGGAACGCGAAGGGCGACGAGGAGCTGATCAAGGCGGTCGAGGAGAACGGCGGCTTCTTCTCAGCGGCTTCGGCGGCGCTCCAGGCGCGGTGGGGGAGGGACCTCAAGAAGAACAAGAAGCTGAAGGACGACTACAATGCGTGTGATGACCCTGAGGCGTTCAAGGCCGACTGGGCGAAGGCACTGGGGCCGAACTCAGCAGGCGCGGGCGATCTCTCACCCCCTGCCCCTCCCGATGTGTATGTCTACTTATCTATCTATCGATAAACCTACTTATAACGGTATATAGAGAACCAGACAGACAGACAGGTATACAGACACATGCACATCGGGAGGGGCAGATAGGGGGAGGGCGGCCGACCGCGCCCGTGGACTTCGGCCCCTTTCAGAAGAAGTACCCAGCCGTCGCCTCCAAGAAGCGCGAGTTCACGCGCGCGAGCAAGGAGGACTACACCAAGGGCGGGCGCCTGGTTTCGTTCCTGAAGATGTGCGAGCTGGAGGGCGGCCCCACGGGCCACATGGACAAGTACACCGTCGAGTGCTGCCTCATCCACGCGCAGCGGTGCCTGTCCCTCGGGTACCCGTTTGCCCAGCAAGATTGGTCTCACAAGGGCATCAAGTTCATGCATTTCGAGATCGGGTACCAGGAGTCGTTCACGAAGCTGTGGTCAGAGCACACGTCGCAGGACATCGGCCAGGCTCCCAGTGGCCAGCCCCTCGCCGCTGGGCTCGACAACCCGAGCAGCAGCAGGCTCGGCGAGCTCGCCGAGGCCAGTGGCGGAGACGACGACGGCCAGTCTGCAGGCGCAGCGGATGATGATGAAGATGATGTGCAGGCGGCAGTCGGGGGCGGCGCTGCTGGCAATGGCGAGAATGACGCTGGCGAGGGGGCGGCCATCGGCGCGAAGCCACAGGGTGAACCTGCTGTGCTGGGAGGCCCCAGGCCGAAGAAGCACGGCGACGGCCAGGGCGGCGATGGCGGGGGGGCTGAGGAGCGAGCTGAGAAGGCGGCAAGGAGGGCGAGGAGCGCAGCTGTCATGAAAGCACTCGCCGACTCCAAGAAGATCGTCGACTTCGCCAAGATTGCCGCCTCGAACTGCGACAACTTGATCGAGGAGATCAACGCCGACGAGAAGAAATGGAAGTGGGCCAACACGAAGCCTGTCCGCGGGAAGCTGGCGAAGATGAACGATCATGTCAGCGAGAGCGTCAGGCAGCTGACGATGGGCAACCTCCTCAGGATGGGCACCGAGTCCGCCGAGATCAAGAAGACCATGTTGCACGATGACATATTGAAGGAGGCCGCCGTCCTGACGGAGATCAAGGCTCGCCCGCGATTCCTCGCCCCCATAAAGGGGGAATGATGACAATGAGGGCGATGATGGCGACGGTCGGGGGAGGTGGAGAGGAAACGGAGGGAAGGCAGGAGCGAGGAGAGAGGTGGGGAGGAGGAGGAAACCCTGCCCCCGCCCCCCCCCCTGCCGCCCTCCTCACCCCATCCCCCGCCAGGCCATGATCGAGCAGCTGGACCAGGAGACCCGCAGGATCCACAGGGCTGGCGGCGCCCTGAACGACGAGGAGAAAGCGAAGGAGGAGAAGGGGGATCGGCCGAAGACCAAGAAGCGCAAGAAGGTCAAGGCCGCTTGAGGACTGGGCGTGGACTGCCCGCGCTCTTCTAAGGAGGATCGAGGAGGTAGGGGCAGAGCAGGGGGAGGAGGAGAAATCGAGCGAATCTCTGACGTTTTCGGTGCCGCTGGGGAGGCGGCGCTGCTGTCCCGAGCAAATAATACCGGACCCCGTCTGGTCAGAGTCTTGGCTCCCAGGCCGGCGTTTTCGCTCCCAGGCCGGTGTTTTCCTCGCCGAGGAGCGGGCGCGACCGCAATTCCATCGTCGACGCATCGTCGATGCATCGTCGATCCATCGTCGATCGTCGTCGAATGCCCCAAAAAAGCTGTGTTTTTGCACTATTCCATCGTCGATGCATCGTCGATGCATCGTCGATCCATCGTCGATCCATCGTCGATTATCGTCGATGATCGTCGATGCGCGTAGGCCCAGCAAATTCCAGGAAAAAGCAAAAAAAAACACGTAAATCCTGAACCAGACGCCCATCCGACCCCTTCGTTGACTTCTGTGGGGAGGGGCAACGGCCCGAGCCATCCACCGACGCGAGATCCTGATTCCCGATGGCCGCGAGGCTGGTTTTTCGGGGGGACTTGCGATATCTCGGGGTCGACAGTGCGTGGGCCCCCGAGCACGCCCAGCCACCCCTGCCCTCTGCCCCTTTTCCGTCCTTCCGTCTCCCATGTCATCCCCCCTCCTCTTCCTCCTCTTCTTTCTCTCTCTCTCTCTCTCTCTCTCTCTCTCTTCTCTCTCTCTCTCTCTCTTTCTTTCTGTTGTTTGTGTCCCTCTCTCTCTCCTCGCTCCTCCTCTCTCTCTCTCTCTCTCTCTCTCTCTCTCTCTCTCTCTCTCTCTCTCCTCTCTCCCTCTCCCTCTCTCTCTCTCTCTCTCTTCTTTCTCTCCCCCCCTCTCTGTGCCTCTCGACGCTCTCTCTCTCTCTCTCTCTCTCTTCTCTTCTCCATCTCTATCTCTCTCCTCTCTCTCTCTCTCCACCCCGCCCCTCTTTTTTTTTTTTTCTCTATCTCTCTCTATACTCTCTCTCTCTCCTCTCCTCTTCTCTCGCTCTCGCTTCTCTCTCTCTCTCTCTCTCTCTCTCTCTTCTGTCTCTCCCACCATCTAGTCTATTTCTCTGTCCTCTCTTTCTCTCTCTCTCTCTCTTCCCTCGTTGTGGTTATCTCTCTCTCTCTCTCTCTCGCTCTCTCTCTCTCTCTCTCGCTCTCTCTCTCTCTGTCTATGTTTGTGTGACGCTCTCTCTCTCTCTTTATTTTTTTTTTCTCTCTCTCTCTCTCTCTCTCTCTCTTTCGCTCTCTCTATGTATATATTGCTCTCTCTCTCTCTCTCTCTCTCTCTCTCTCTTTCTCTCTTCCCTCCCCCTCCCCTTCTCCCTCGCGCCTCACCCCCCCCTCTTGCCCCTTCGCCCCCTCCCCACCCATCGGCCCCGCTGCCCGCCCGTCCTCGAGGGTCCGCTCCGCGCGGAGGCATTGGCCTGGCGCAGGGGGAGCGGGTCAGGGGTATGCAAGTTTCGCAATCTCCTGCCTCTCGTCCTCCCCCAGCCCTCTCCTGGGCATCCTCATCATCACAGTCGTCATCGCCATGCACCATTTCATGGAGTTACGAAGCGCGTGAGGGGCGTGCCGCGATAGACACGCAAGCGAGGGCCCAACACCACAACTAAGTATGTAGCGTTGCGGCCCAAACGATGTCCGAGCCCCCGCGCCGACGACGGCGCACTATCACGCCTATCCTCGACCATGTCGCCGAGGCAAGTGCCCGAGCCGAGTCAGGGGGTGCGTGTATGTCGGAGCTGCAGGCTATGTACAGCAGTGGATCCACCATGACTGCATCGGCCATGTGTAGGCTCGCTCACTTGGCCGCGCGTGGTGGGTGCGTTGGGCCCGATAGTCAGTGGGGGCTGGCGCCTGGCCGCCCAAGCGGTCATTACCATCGGCACGTTGAGCACACTGTTTCGACTGAGCTCGGTGAGAGGGTGCCGCTGATGCGCATCAGCCTCCCAGGGCACGTGAAAGGCAAGCGCGCCGACATACAGCTCCAGGTCAGACCGTTCCATGAGCTGCTTATCAAAGAAGCATCAGCATCGGCGCACAGGCTTAAGGAGTGGCATAGTGTGCTGTCGGAAAAGGAGCTGCCTCGAGCATGGAAGGCGAACCCCATCATATCGGGAGCAGGCTACGAAGAACTCGTTGTGCCCGTCGCAATATACATGGATGCTGCCCGATACGGCGGCAGCGCAGCAGCAGGGAAACAACGCAGCATCCTTCAAGTAAGTCTGGTCAACCTGATTTCTGGCACACGCCACGTAGGGCTTGCATTCCGCAAGCAATACCAGTGCAGGTGTGGCTGTAAGGGGTGGTGTAGCGTTTATTCCATACTGAGTTTTCTGCATTGGTGTTTGTTGCAGCTCGCGCAGGGCAGGTGGTCTGAGAGTGCATTCGGTGGCGGTGATTGGAGCGCGGAGTCTCCAGCCCTCGACAGAGTTGCGTTGGCTGGCCAGGCCACGGCGTTCAAAGCTGCTGTTGTGTATCTGATGTTGGACTGGGAGGCGGTCGTTAGCACGATGGGGGTCCCGCAGTGGAACACCGAGCTCCACCCCTGCCCCCTGTGCAATTGCAGCTCCGACACAATGCACGCGTACAGGTGCTTGTGTTTTTTATTTGCGTTTCGTTTACGTGTCTACTGACGGTCGTAGGTTGTCCTCCTGCTCTTACCCCAGTGGGCGTCACGGTGTGCGTCGTCGGTCCGTCCTCGCGTTCTCGCCCCTGCCTTCGCTCTCCTACCCGTGGGCGGCCGTTCATGTCCGTTGGCCAGGACAAATCCCGGCGCCGCACTCTATCCCGAGAGAGGGGGCTGCGGAGGGGAAGAGGACAGATGGATTGGGAAGGGGGCGGATAGAGGACGAATCGGAGGGAGGACGAGGACCGAGTCGGAGACCCGCAGGGCGCGAGGGCAGGAATCGGAATTCACGGAGGGGGAGGAGGTTAGAGGAGAGAAGATGAGGAGTAGAGGAGAGGAAAGATGAGGAGAGGAGATGAATGATGGACCTGCTTCGGACCAGCGGCAGACTGGGAGGGACCATTTTGGGTGAGTTGCTTTCGACCGCCGCGGACCTTGATGGGGCCATTTGAGTGATTTGGTTTCGCTTGTTTGGTAAGCGCTGGCCGTCCAAGCTTAAGACAGCTTTTTTTTTTTCTGCGTTTTCTGGAAGATGACCCCCTCGCCCGTTTCAAAGACGCACGAAACGAGCGCAGCGTGCCTGATGCCGCGTACGAAAGCAGTCAGTTTAATATTGGGTACCGCCTTGTCCGAGTGACATTGGGATGACAGGATGCAGAGGAGTCCGAGGGATGGAGAGGCGCTCGGAGAGGGGGAGGGGCGAGGGGCGAGGAGGCTGAGGAGCGGTAGCCAGCAACCCCACAACTTGAACAACCAGGATCCCCCTAAATTATTTGCCCCCCCAAGTCCGCCTGGAGGAGAAGAAGGAGGAGGAGGCGGAGGAGGATGGGCGCATGCCAAAGACGCGCGCATTTCTCGCAGCCAGTTGGATGATATCGTTAAGCCGTGGCGCAACCATGACCACCGCGCACACGCGAGGGCATCCGACAGGGCAATTAAGACAGTAACTATCCTGACAGTGGAAGAGAGAGACAGCCTTCTCAGAACAGCAGGGTTTCTCTGGGACAAAAGAAAAAGTGAAGGGAAAGGTTTGTGCGTGACAAGGCACGTGCCTCCTCTCAATCCGTTCAGTGCGCCTTTGGAGCCGCGAGACAGACTGGTGCCGCAACCATCCCTCCCAGACGTCGGAGGCTATGCCAGCGTTGCTCCGCCTGTAACTCTGATTTTTTGGCGCGACAGTGATGCAAGCATAACTAGACAGCTTAATCCTCTCTTTGATGAACGACTGGGGATTTCAATCTCACGGCGTTTTGGTGTTGACGAGCTGCATACGGATATGCTCGGCGTCCGTGGCTTCGTGGTGCTAGAGACGGTGTGGCGAATTCTCCAGTGCTCGCAGATAGGGGGCTTCAACAATTCACGGCATACTATGGAGCAACAGGCCCCGCCCGCCCCCCGCAAAACTGGTTGGAGGGGGGGGGGAACGGGGAGGGGGGAAGGGCGGGCGAGCGGTGAAATGGGACAGGGGAGGGGCGGAGCATAGGTGATAAAACAACTGCCACCCCAGGCCCTTGCAGTGCTAACATCAGAAGTCTCGTCGTGGTACAAACTCGAGCAGGGGCGTGGGCACACTGTCAGCGCGCTGGATTCTTTGGATGCTAAAATGTTTGGCACCTCCAAGAAGCGGGTGCTCAAGATCAAGGCTACGGCGATTTCAAAGAACCATTGCCCGCGTTGGGACGCAGCCTGCGCGAGGGCGCACGGCCATGGCCAATGCGGAATGCTGGCACGGCCCCGTGCCCTCGCCCAAGCCGCGTCGAGGCACGGGCAGCGGTTCGCTGCTAGGCTGGGGAGTGCGCCTCTCTTTTCAAGTGTTGCGCAGAGTGCTTATTGCCGAAATACGCGGCCATGATCCACAAGGGTCGCGAGCTGCAAGCGGCTGCCGATAGCTTGTGCGAGTGCTCTACCGTCCTCCAGGCCCTGCCCGATTGCCCACCCCCGACCGCCCGCAGAAACCTGGAGCGCCTCTGCGCGCGACACTTGGTCTTATTGGTGCCCGCGGAGATCCCGACTCGGCCGAAGCACCATCTGTGGTACCACTTGGTTTTCAGGACGGTTTGCTGAATGGGGTCGGCGGGGGGGCCTTCGAGGGGTAACCTTCTCACCCTCTTCCTCCTCCTGACCCCCCCCCCCTGCCCCTCCCCCCTCCCCCCCGCGAGGAAAGGGGGGCATGGGGGGTGGGCCTGCTACCTGATCCACACGTAGAAGAGCCATGTATTAACGTAAGTTCTCACGGTACGTCTCTGGGCCATCCTCCCAGGATCGAAGAGTTTGGGCATCCGCGGCTGCACAGCACTTGGAGAGATGAATCTCTGAACGCTCTGTATGCCGCTATC